AATCACCAGGGCGGGCTCCCGAAAGTTAGTAATGGGTGGCAGTTGCCTTTCCAAAAGGAAAATCGGAAAGAGGCTGGCTTAGATGTGCAGATGCCCAAGTTCATTGCTAAAAGTTTCATCGCAGACTTATTCTTCCTCTGTAAAATAAAGAAGCCTTCAAGCCAAAGCCAGAAGTCTTTGATTTGCTTTATTGCATCAAAATGAACCGCGAAGTAGGTCTGTAGATAACTGCTAGGCAACAGCCCCGGCGAACTGATGATCCGATAAAATTCAGACACTCCTCGGGGGGGACCGCGCGGAGTCCCCTGTTCTCACTACTACGGTAGTTTCCTCTGCTTGCTAAACGGTCCCTTCCTTGTGACTTCAAAGTGGTGGTTTGAACAGATGACTTTATTCTTAGAACTGAGCAGCATTGTGTTCACTGGCAAAAAAAAAAAAAAAAGCTTAAAAAACTTTTAAAAAACAACTTCAACTGGTTGCTCACACTTCAGATAACCAGCTCTTTTAAAAGGAGGTAAAAATAGGTCAGCCAGGGCCAGCCCATTGTAAAGCAAATGACCAGTGTGAATGCCGGCAGGATACTGAAGGTCTTTTCTAGAAGGAAAACCAGAAGTAATTTTAATGTAAAAAACTTGGAGTATCTAATCAGACCAGATTTTAATAATGAAGAAAAAGAAAAAGAATTCCTCAGGCGGAAAGGCTATGTTACACAAAATTTAGTTGCAGGATCACTGGAGGAATTACTATGTTACTATAGCCTTCTCCAAGAAAGATTGTGAAGGGAAAAAAAACACAGAGGTCACCTAAATCAGAACTCAGGATTTTAAGCCAGACACTTACACAAACTGCCATAAATTCTATAGGATAAAGGGGTTTCAAAACTTATGAAATAACTTGTGAAGTGCAAAGTACGTAATCTGAATTCTCAGTCATTAGGAAAGAAAGAACTGAGGATGACTCTTATCCTAATATTTTTAAGTTGTTACTCTTCCTAATCTACCTAATTTTCATTATTTTATTAAAAATAAGGCATTCTGAATGTAATGAATTACTTTGCCTAATTGTGTCAGGTATCTCCAGGTATGATATTTTTGCCATTATGGAAATACCTAATTTGTTAGAGGTAATCCATCCCACGCACATTGTTTCTCAGTGCAAAAACTCTACATATGACTTTGTAAGTCACGACTAAAATAGAATTCAAGGGATGTATTTGTTATGAGAGTGCGTGCATGAGAGAGGTTAAAAATTTTAGACAGCAATTAAAAAAAAAAAAAAAGAGGAAACATCTACACAAAACTCAAAGAATATGATTGGAGCGAGTTGCAAGCAGTTCCCCGGTACTCTAGAATAGATCATTACCTGAACCTTGAGTATTTAGCTAAAGAGAAGAAAAATCAGGTTCAGTGTCTGATTGGAATTGATAGGAGTTTGGATCAGTAGGAAGTTGTCGGAACTTTAAGATAGAAACTTAGGTGTGTGGAGTTTGATTTTGGGAAATAACTTTTCTTTGCTTTTTTTTTTTTTTTTAATGGTAAGCAAACCTCGTGTCACATCTGAGAAGATTTTCAAAACCATTTTTCCAATGAAACGATTACTTTAAGGTTTAAACCATTGGTAAGGTTTGCGGGGCAGTGTCCGACTGAGACAAGTATTTTATGACTCATGGGTTTCCTTGCACACTGTTGAAAGAAGGAATACATGTAGCCAGACAAGCCAGGCAGAGACAACTTCTGGTCCCTCGATCTAATTCTGCCTACTAATAATGATTATGATGCTCCGATATACACTTGAAATGACATTTTCAGAATATCCTATCCTAAATGCTTCTGGCTGGCTTCAGAAACAGAACTGTACTTATGTATGCATGATACTATTGGAATATTCTTTTAAGAGTAATATCTCTAGCCTAGGAGCACCTGCCGGGAGTAAGCTTCAGGCAAAATTTTAAAGAAGCCACTTCCAATTGCCCCTTTCCCATCTCCAGCATTTTCTCTCTCTGGTAAAACACCAACACAAAAGCTTACCGCAGGTAGGAATCCCGTACACTTATTCATAGTATTAACTATGAAGTAGGTTCAACCCCTTGAGAGCTCCTGGGGTTATTTGCGTGTGTGATTTACTAGCCAGGCAATGCACGAACAGTTCCCAGTTAGTGTGAGTGCACTCTTGGCAGGCACTAGTTGGAACACTTTAAATGTATGGGGTGGCACCTGCAAGAGGGAGATGCCTTTCTCTCCCATTCATAAGAAACTCAATCTGGGAGGGACTAAGCGGACTGCCTAAAGCAACATATTTAGTAAGTGGTGGGCTAGGATTAGCTAGCCCCCAGGTGTGACCCTTAGTCACTCTGCCACCTTGTTTTGTTATAGATCAAGTGGAGTGAGTTTACTGTTGACATTGCTTGAGAAATCGTACCAATCAGGGGAGAAGTCCCTGCTCTATTGATACCCAAGATGGAATCTACCTAAATTAAAACCTAAATTGACCCCACAACTTGGCATCCTCAACTATTCCAATGTTAGTGCTCTGCTTTGGCTTCGTGATCTGTGGAAGTGAAGCTGGGGACATCTTTGCCAAGAAAGATGATGGAGTTAATATGGGAGAAGAAGGGATGAAAGAAAAATAGAAGATCACATGGTGGGAGGCTGGCATGAGAACTTGTCCAGATTCTGTGTCCTGTGGGAGTCTTAAAAACAAACTCTTTGGGCTGTGTGTGATTTTTAAAGTCTCAGATAAAGCACAGACTGAAAACTTCCCTTTAAATTGTTGTAAGGTCTGATTATGGAAATTAGATTAGTTTTATCTTCGGATGATCTCCTTTACGTATTTTTTTTTTAAAGAGTAAAAAATTGATGATTCAAAGGAAATTGGGGGGAGAAAGGCCAGATGATGACTGAAGAGGTAAAACAGTGCATGGAAATATCACTGGTTCTTGCATAATCACTTTAGAAAATTTGCCAGGAAATGAAAACACTTCTTTAACTGGTGAGGAAAAACAAAATGGTTCATTTGGGTAAAATTTGAAGAGTTAAGGACAATAACATGATTACTGTCACTTGTCTTCTTATCGCAGAAGACAGGAACCAACAAGGAACAAAATAAAAAAAGTAACGGGCGTAAAGCCAAACAATATTTTAAGATTGGTCTTTCTCAGCATACTAAATTTAAACAGCTGCAATTCTTTTTAAAGTATTATCTGAGTCAACAATTTGAAATGAGGAATTTGCTTTTTCACAGAGAATCTGTATCGTAAGTTTGAAACGGGATGCCTTGGACTCAGTTTGTATTGGCAATAAGCCAATCACTACTGATCAAGGAGCACAAAAGCTGTCACTTGCCAAATCAGAGTATAAATGTGTGTGCATATATATACTCCGTGAGGACAGTTGATGCTACTGAGCTGTTGTCATATATATAAATATAGTGATGGAGCTTTGAAAATACATTCACATTGTTGCGACACTACAGGTTGAGGTTAGGAAGAGAGATGATTTTTGAATGTTGGGACTACAGCTCTCTTCTTCTTTTTAAAAAATATTTTATAGATTTTTTTTTTGAGAGAGGGAGAGAGAGAAACATCTACATAGGAGTGAAACGTGGACCGCCTGCCGGCCTCCTGCACGCCCCCTGTCAGGGATCGAGCCTGCCACCTGGGCATGTGCCCTGAGCCAGAATTGAACCAGCAACAGTTTGGTGCACTGGACCATGCCCAGCCAACTGAGCCAGAGCGCTCTGTTTCTTCTTGCTTAAAAATAATGACAGGGACTTTTATTAAGTACTTACTACATGCCAGTTGCTTGTATGAGCATCTTGCACATTTAGTCTTGAAAATATGCTTATCACCCTCATTCCCATTTTATACAAGAGGAAACAGAGAGGGTTAAACGACTTACAGTTAGAAATGAGTAGGAATGGGGCTGGGTATGAATCACACAGTCTGGCTGCAGAACCCGTGCTTTAAACCAAAAGGTTCTAAGTCCACTCACTGCTAACTGTCACCGGCTTATTATAACCCTCTACAGTTCATGCTTTTTGCTCAGCTCTTTGGTCTCTGCTTACAGCTGTCTCTAATTTCTTTCTTGACTTCCATAGCCCTTAAGCTTCATGACCTCCT